TCCACAGTGCTCTGTGTTGGGTTAGGTCTTTTGTAAGCACTGAGTAGTTTTCTGCTGAAGCCCAGCCTCGGGCAGAATTGGGAAGTAGATAGCTTGATAAGATGCAGTGATTTGCAACCTGGTTTCTCGGTGGGGGGTGGGGGGAAGAAACCAACTGTGGGGTTCTGACTTCAAAAGGACACCTAAGAGGAAGCCTTCGCTCCAAAGCAGTTAGAACTGGGTGAGGCACCCACATTGTAAGTGTTACAGCTTGGATGGAAAGGTATTGTGGCAATCGGGAGCCAAGGAATACCACAAAGTCGTCTTAATCTTAGCAGTTTACAGCTCTGCTCCAGGGAAAGGTTTTCCCAGTGCAAGCTTAACAACTCTTCTCTGGTGGGGCAGGGGAGAGGGTCCCAGAGAAGTTGTTACAGCTGGGCTCCATGTGAAAATGTCACACCACACAACAATCCTCACTCAAGAGATTTGTTGGGAAGGAAGAATCCAGGAGGGTGGCTTCCTTGGGTGAGAAGCAGCAGCAGCAAACTAAACCTTATGTCAGATTTCTTGGGGCAGGGGGGCTTTCCAGGGTGGCTTGGGATTGGTGGATTTTTGTGCCTGATTCTGGGTGAAAGTCAGGGATTGGTGGCTTTTCAAGTTCAGGGACCTCAGGGATTGGTGGCTTTCTGTGCTCAGGGATTGGTAAAATTCTGTAGCATGACTCTGGGGTAAGCTCAGGGATTGGTGGGATTTCAATCCCTGGTCCTGGGGTCAAGTCAGAGTTAGGATGTTTTGGCCTCCTTTTACCCTACATTTTCCTCTGGCCTTTTTTTATTAATAAACAATGGGGGGTCGGAAGGAGGGGTGTCATCATTAGGCCACTACTGCCAGGATACCGTGCCATCCAAGCTGCAATGCTTACACAGATTTTCCCCTCACACTTCATCTCCCACATTCACCCTCCCTCAGCTGACTCCAAAGGAGGCCTGGCTCTAGGTGCGGTTTGGAAACCAATATTGCAGCATAAAGTCAGTGTTCTAGATTCAGAACTCTGTCAGTCACCTTAGGCCAACTCTGTAACCACTAAACCTGACTTTCTTCAAGCTAAGGGTCAAACAGGAAACTTTTGTATGTGCTACCTCAGATGGCATGCAATATGCCTGAGCCATGCAAAGTACTGTGAGCTCCTCCTTGACCAGATGGTAGCGCACGCCTTTAATCCCATCACTGGGGAGGCAGAGACAGGCGGATCGCGATGAGTTTGAGGCCAGCCTGGTCTACAGAGTGAGTTCCAGGACATCCAGGCCTGTTACACAGAGGAACCTTGCTTTAAAAAACAAACAAACAAAAAGAACCCCACAGATTCCTCCACACTTTTCCCTTTCCCCTTTCTTTGTCTCTCCACTCACATGCCCTCTTCAGGAGCCTGGTTAGGGCGAGGGGATGTTGGCTCTGACACCAGCACTCTGTAAGCAACTAGCTCTTCAGGAAAACTCAGAGCCACTATGTGCCTCTGTTAGCTGGGGTTAGTCTCTCTGGTTCAAAATCTTTCCTTCTGGAAGCTACAGCTTCTAGCAGAGGCATGATCCCCAACCCCAGCTGTCCTGCACAACCCATAGGCAAGGACATTTTATTGAGGGGCTGTGCGGAAAGGTGGCCTGCCTCCTGCCCCTGGCTGTGTGGAGTGTAGTGCAGGCATGTATGCAAAAAATACAGTGGACACGTGTCCTTACGTCCTTGTTTCCTGCAAACTTGTCTTCCCAACCCAGTGTAACTTGTTGGAAAGATGGGGTCATGGACGAGCATCCCAAAACTATTGGACTTAGAGCTAGGAAACTATTTAAAGCAATTAGCAATATTAACAAATAGATAGCATGCCAACATAGGACTTTACCTCTAAAGGTTAGTTGAAGGTTCAGGAAGTTGACACAGTTGGACCTCTGTTAGTTCAAGGCCAACCTGGTGTATGCATTGAGTTCCCAGCTCAGTCAGGATTAGATACAATTATTCTTCTCTCTCTCTCTCTCTCTCTCTCCACACACACACACACACACACACACACACACACACACCACACATGTGCACATACATGCACACTTACTCACACACACTCATACATGCACATACATGTACACACACATACATGCACACATGAGCACACACTTATACATGCACACATAAACACTCATGCACACTCATGCACACACACTCATACATGAACACATAGTTATACATGCATACACACACACACACACACACACACACACACACACACACACAATATCCATGTACTAAGGATTGATGAAAAGAAGATTTAGATGTTGGAATTTAGTGACAAGAACAAAATGCAGTAAAACCACAGAATGGATAGAAAGGGAATCCGTTTCCTGAGCGTCATGTGCAGTCTAGCTAGGGAGACCATGGGCATCACTCTCTGGGGTGCCGTGTTCTGCTGTGTTTGAGTGCATTTTGTTTACTGTTATTCCTTGGTTGTATAAAATATTAGCATTTTGAGGAATTTACATATGGAGCGGCAGTACTTGAAGTGTGCTGGCGTAACTCCCCAGTTCATCAGTCCTGTGCATGCCAGTTCATGTAACAAGACAGGCTGTTTGTAGAACGCAGTGACCAACTCCTAAGAGCACAAGGAGTCACAGAGCAGAAGTCTCCATCCTGATGAAATTCATGGTTTTGTCACACTGTAAATCTCATAAAATACCATTCTACGCAAAATACTATTCAGAGAGGGAAAGGTAGTAGATTGCTAGGAGGCAAAAGCTTTTTATGGGGGTCGGGGGCAGATAGCATGGTTTCAGTAGTCAAGGCACGGGGCAAAATAAAAACTAAAAACAAAAGGGAGTGTGAGAAAAAAAATTGGGAGGTAGAATACCCAAGCCAGTGTTTGGTTGGGTGGTGTATTTTGGGGAATCCTTTCTGGGACGGGAGTTCATAGGGAACATAAGGCGTGGTCTAGACAAGGAGTGAAGTGATATTGGCCTGAGTGTGGGAGGGTGTGGCTGCAAGGATGGGGCAATGCCAGAGGACATAGTGCGGTCTGCTGATGTGACCAGAGCCTGTGCTTAGGAAACCCCTTTACAGATAATGCTGTGGGGCCCATGGGATAGGAGGCATTGTCATTATCCCCAGTGAGTGAGATGTGAGGCCCTAGCTGGTTGGTGACAGGGACACCCAACAACAATGGGATCTGTAGGGAAGAGCAGACATTTTAGAGACAGGATGTTAAATGTTTGACAACTGAACTGATGATCTCAGACTCTGGTGTACCCGTCTAATGATGGCAGCTGTGCCGTTCTCAGCAGTAGCAGCAGCAGCAGTAGTAACTGTGAAGCTAGCTGGGTTTAAATACTTCAGAAACTGGGGAGGAGGCAGAAACTGGTCACACCTGATGCCCGAGAATGGCCTGTACTGGGCATGACGGGCAGTTCTGAGGACACTCTGGGGTGCTCTCTTGAAGCAGAATGGAAGTGCCTTGTTCTTGGCCCCAACTGGGGAGATGATGTTGACAATATTGCCCGGAACTCTGTTCCCTGCTTGAGTGCTGGTTTAAGAACCAGGGCATGGTTTTTAGGTAGATAATTTGGTGCAGTGTTGTGGCCACGTAGTTAGTGGTCAGGCTACAGCTAAGAACAGCTATGCAATGGTTGTTTTTTTCTTCCTCTTCCCTCTTCTCTCCCTTCTCTTTTCCCCTCCCTCCTTCCTTTGCTCCCTCTCCTTCTTTTCCTCCCCCCATCCTCTGAGATAGGGCTGACTTCCCACTTAAATGAGAGGATGGCCTTGAACTCCTGGTCCCTCCTGTGCCCCCTCTCTCCAGGGCTGTGATATCCAGTGTGGGCCACCAGGCCCAGCTGATTGCTTCCTTTTATGGGGAATCTTCTAGTTATTTTTAAGTCTTAATTTATCCCTTTCCTTCTTCGACCCTTTTTTGACCTCATTGCTAGATATTACAACTCTGTGCAGAGTAAAGGAGGGGATGGATGGCCAAGCCTGCCCTTGTCACAGTGAATAGCTGGAAGGTTAGGACTGCAGTCTCAGGTCATTGTTCTGGTTTCCCTTCTGTCACAATGTTGATGCTAAATTCTGTGGCTGTGCTCGTCCAGGGTTCCTTAGAGTGTTGTCCTTGACTGGCAGCCTCTGCCACCTGGGCAATGACTAGAAATGCAAATTATCCAGATCCACCCATCAAAGCAGATAGTATAGGGGCAGGCCCAGCAAGTCAGATCTTAACAAATTCTCCAGCACAGCCAAGAGGCACAAGCCAGAGCCCATGCGGCCCAGAAGGGAAGGGATTGATTGAATAGGTAGAAAAAAATTTTTTTAAACACACACACATTCAGCTAATGCTAAAAAGTCAGTGGTCTGAATAGTATTATATTCTACAAAGAAACTTCTGTTTTCCCACCATTCTCTAATCTCCAGAAACAGTACTGGGAGCTTCATGGAACTTTCAGTCAAGTCTGGCAGAAGCCCCCGCCCCACTTTAAGACATGAAGAAACTGAAGTTTGAAAAGCCAGTGGGGCTGGGGAGAAGCCAGTGCTTTACACCCACTGAGCTGAGTCCAGATCCCTTGCTCTCAAGAAGAAAGTGAGGGGTGGCTGCACATCTAGCAAATGCGGAGCTGGAGACGGAATCTCAGGAGCTCGCCGGCCACCTGATTGCTTAAGTCCATGGACAGCAGGAGACCCTGGTTCAATATGTTTAAGGTGGATAGTGACTGGAGAGGATACCTGACGTCTACCGCTGGCCTCCACACACATGCACCTCAACACACAAGTGTTCCTGCACACAGAGTGGCCGTAACACATCTACCCCTGCACACACTGGAGCCTCCACACACATAATGCAGTCAAACTGCTTATGCAAATATTGCAACGCATATAAATTGTGAGGCTTGCCTGTATTCCTGAATTCAGAGCATATCCGTTGGCCATCTTGGTCTCTTTTCATCCTGATACTGTGGACTTGACATCCCATTAAAGGAGGGGGTGTTGTTGCCAACGGCATGCAGGTGTCAGGGATCCACCAGCGCGTAGTACAGTACCCTGACCTGTTTCCAAAGCATATCAGTAAGATCAGGTATGAATTACACAAAATTATGTCAAACTTGCAGGCATTTTTTAGGTTCCTTTTCTTTGCGGTGGAGCCTGTACAACTGTAAGGAAAAGTTAGGAAGGGGCGCCCCCCAGTGGAGAGTAAGGGAAATGCTCCCTCCAGTTGGTAGAGCAAGACCTGCCAGTGTTTTTTGCTTTAGGGTTTGTCCCCTGATCGCCCCCTTTCAAGACTGAAGAGTTTTTTTTTTTATCTCGAAGTTGAGAGCTTTTGCTTTTATAAAAAATTCAATCTGGGTCATTTTGACACTGTCTTGGAAATTAGATTTCTGTATCACACTTAAACCACACCAGGGTTTATGTCCTTCAGTGACTTCTCAAGCCTGTAATCATTTTCCTACTTAAACTTTAAACTCTAATCTGAATAAGCTTTTGAGAGGTACACAGTGTGAATGTGCATGCCTGTGTTTAATAGTTTGGGTCCAGATTCAGCTCCTGGGCTGCTGGTAGCTTTGGAAATTGTACTTGTGTGGATTGAGGTGACTCAAACCATAGTATCTTTGGCTTCAAGGTTGGCGTTGTAATTGCGATATCACCAGAGGCACTTAATACTCCTTGACCCATCTTCAGGGAAGAGTGTTTTGACCTCTACCCTTGAGGACTCTCAGCCCAAGCACTCTGTTCAGGAATAAGATGGATTTGCCCCTCTCTGGTTGGTGAAGGAGATCAAGATGTGAACAAATAATCGTCAGAGAAACCTTAGCAAAACACATGTTTCCTCTTTTAAAGTAAAATGGATGCTTGGGAAGTTAGAGATGGAATGAAGAGTTCACAGTTGCAACAAATAAAACATGTTCCTTTTTTTTTTCCTGAAATGTAATCACAGTTGTATCTCAAGAAGTCTCACTTAAGTTGTGACTTCCATAACTCAGAGAGTAGCCACTCTGCTCTTGCAGACCTTAGAATTTTCTGGTAGGGAAACCCAGGAATAAATAATCTCAATATTGACAGCTTGAAACACTCATCTCCTTGAAGGTTATGTTTCTGCCCTTTGAGATGAGACACAGACTCAAAAGTTACACACACACACACACACACACACACACACACACACACATTCACACATCCCTCCCTACCTTGTAGATGTGGGTTGCAGGTCAGGGGACTCTGGACTTTTGGCTCTGTGCTCCTGCACTCTGATACAGTTGCAGTAATAATACTGGAAGTCAAATTTGACTTCAGTAACCTGACTCATCCATTTTGTTGTTGTTTTTTGAGACAGGGTTTCTCTGTGTAACAGCTATGGCTGTCCTGGAACTCGCTCTGTAGACCAGGCTGGCCTCAAACTGATAGAGATCCACCTGCTTCTGCCTCCTGAGTGCTGGGATCCATTCTTTGTGTGGACAGCACACATGTATATTAAACTTCACTCCCAGGGGTCTAGGATATCTGCAGCTAGTTGCAGATTCAAATGACAAGAGTGTCGAAGGGGCAGCTGGTACATGCTCTTCTTGGAGCCACTGATTGTTGGCCTCTAGCTGGAAGAGTGGCTATGACTCTTCATCCTTTGGGGAGCCCAGGGCGGAGAAGCTAACCTCTGATAACCACTTCCCATGTAAGCATCAGGAGGGTGGCTTCAGGTTGGCCCTGGTCTTCATGGGGCAGATGTGGATTTGAGATACTGCAACACATCACCTTCTTCAGACAATCCGCCTGTGCCTCTAACCTGCTCTGTTGCACCTCCATGGAGGCTGGTGGTGGTAGTTTTCTGCAGTCCAACTTCCTTTGATGCAAGCATCTTCAAGCTTGTTCCTGATACTGAGCATAATTATCAGATAGCCAGTTCTGTCTTAAAAATAATTCTGTTCTTTATCAGTCAGAATGCTGCCACCCTTTCCCAGGACTGCTTGCCCTGGGAGCTTGCCTGACTCCCCCACCTCTGACCCCCACTTAGCTTGTAGATGTGGGTGTGCCTGTACTAGTCTGAACTTAAGTATGGGTCACCCCAGCTTTATTCAGTGGGGAATCTTGAAGCACATTAACATAGTCAGTTTTTCAAATAGTAGGAACTTAGGGTATCATTGTGTCCAGAAACAAGTAGGGAATATTAGTATTTGAGATACTACTAAATGAAAGTAAAGGTAGGGTATTTATTAATAAGTCATATGGACAATTGATTAATAGCTATTAAATATATGATTATTAACACTTAAAATCTGTTTCCCCCACAGGAGTGATGTGTATTTATTTTGTTGATGGGGTGTATACATAGTCTAGACATAACTGAAATCCTTTGTTTACCATCTGTAGATGCCCCCTAGTGCCTGCTTTGCCTTTGAGCCCTTTGTTGCAAAGCATACATTGGCAACTCAGCAAGAAACCCGATGACATATCCTTCCTTCCTTCTTTCAATATAATGATGGAGACCATGTTAGTTTTGTCTAGCTGAGGTTAAACAGCTAGGTGAATGTGCTTGCCCTGACTTGCTGTGCAGCTGCCAGGAGCCTTGTGTCTTGTGTTTTCATTTGTTTGGTGAGGACCACACTGTTCTCCATAGGCCCATCCACAGCACAAGTGGAAAAGGCCCCAGCCAGTCATACAGCAGTAATCTTACTATGATTGACTGGAGGCTGCTTAGAAAACTCATTTTCCCTTCTAAGCTCCTGAAGTCTTAGCACCATGGACTGCTGCTTCTTCTTTCTCAGAGTCTCATTCTTCCTGGCATTCGGACTTTTATTTGTTCCTTTTGGTTTTTTAAATCACAATGTCACCAAATGGGAGCTGACAACCCGTGCTCTGCAGCAAGGCTTTGTGCCTCGGGAACCCATTGCCTAGTATGCTGCCTGTCTGGACAGAGCTTCTCTTGGCCTTGGCTCTGTGTTGATGGAGCTGTAGCTTCCCACTAGGCTGTTCTTTTCTCGGGTTGCAGGGGCCAAGTTACAAATTAGGAGGTGTCTAGAGCAAGTGGTTCTCAACCTTGCCAATGCTGAGACCCTTTAACACGGTTCCTTCTGCTGACCCCCACCATAAAATTATTGTCATTGCTACTTCAAAACTGTAACCTTACTGCTGTTATGAAACATAATGTAAACATCTGTGTTTTCTCACGTTCTCAGGCATCCCCAGCGAAAGGGTCGGTTGACCTCCTAGGGGGGTCGCAACCCACAGGTTTGAGAAGCACCGATGTTGATTCTCTGGAGGTGCATAGGTCAAGGGTGGTGGTTCTAATGTGACCTACAGAGGCATCTCCCTCTCTGAAGCTTCTAGTTGCCTCCAGCTTTTCTTTTAGGTTTTGATGATTTGGGAGTCCGCTGTACACACTTAGTAAATGGATGGAGCATGGTTGCCACCTGTTGGTGATTACTGGGAGTTTGAATTCCAGTCTCATTTTTTTTTCCTCTTTAGTGGACCTGAGAGGGATTTTCTGCTTAAGTGAGACTGTTAGATATTGTCCAAGGAGGAACAAAGCCACCTTCCAGAGCTGGGCAGGGCTTGGATGTGGCTAGCGCTTTTGTTAACCAGATGCCTGGTCCAGCTCTTTAACCAGGTATAGTGGATGTGCAGGGTGGAGCAGGAGGGGTCTTTCTTATGACCCCTGACTCATTTGCCTCATATTCTTTATTTTCTCGGCATAGCTAATGTCTTTTTAAAAAACTGACTGTAGAAGTGATCCCCACCTCACCCCCCATTTTGGATAGAAAAGCAGTCTTCTCACTGTGTCCTCTGGTTACTGTGGTGTCACTTTAAAGGCTTGAACATAATGAGTGTTTTATTCCTCTATGAGAGGGTAATGTTGCGAGTAGTATGGGATAGGAGAGTGGGAAATCGGATTTGAATTCCAACTCTGCTCTTCTAACCAGGGACAGTTTTCTCCACTGTTGCTTGCTCATCTTGATATCCCCAGCTGTAAAGAGGAAACACCACCTGCTTGAAAGTGTCAGGAGAACTGATGGAATGAAACGGGGGAAGCGTTCAGCCCATACCTTAGTGCACAGCGATGCTAATGACTGTGGTATCCGTCCCAGCCTGCATACTTTGGGAACATGAGCTATACACATTCAGCACCCCATCCCTCCCCCTTCTTTGCTGTACTGTAAGGTGCTCTGTCTTTAAAATTGGCAAGGTAGTTTGGAAGGTGTAGCAACAGCTTGGCTGCAAAATCCAAACGACACCCCAAAGCCCACATGAGAGCAGCACAAAGTAGCCAAGCACTTGGCCACGGTGCTCCCTGGATGTTTTACTGCCACTGTTACTGGGGCTGCACTATGCCACCAAATGGCTGTTGGAGGCACGTTGTTTTCTGGGTTGGCTCTTGTGTTGGGCAGCTATCTTGGGAGACATTTCCCCTGACTCCATCATCACATGCTATCATTTTTAGTTTTCATCTCGGCTGAATGTGATGACTGGTCATTCCTTGAAGAACACATTACTTTCATGGTGAGCATTGTTAGAAAAGTGTTCCAGATGAAGATGCATTCCATGAATGCTAAGTTTGTTCTTTATCCCCAAACCCTCTACATACAAAAGGACAGGTAACACTCATTTCTTCTTTATTAGCACAACTCATCAATTATTAAGGAATCCTTGGACCTTCTTGAATGATCCATTCTTGAGGGCAAACATCTTTTCCTCCTTCTTTCTCTTGTGTGTTTTGGCTAAGACCCTGACTCATTTCCTTTCACGTTTTTAATTTCAATGTATAATTGTATGTTCATTAAGTGTGATTATTTGTGTGTGCTGCTTGTCAAATATCCCTGGCTCTCTTCCATCCCAGCATGTGGGAAGGGTGTGCTTCCTTCCCTACAGTTGGCTGGGACAATGCACTAGTTTGGGATACTGATTTATGAATGAAATAATGCATCATTTCTAGCCAAAGCTCTCACTTCTGTGCCATCTCCTAAGAGCTTTCTCTTACTACAGTAGAGGGCTGGTGTGCTTCCTCCGCTTCTGTCCGGGGTTAAGGGAGGGCGAGCCCTCAGTTTACCCTTGGCAGTCCTGCCATGTGAGTGCAAAGTAAAACAATTCTTCAAGTCTCTGAGATGCTGGGATTATTACTCATCACAGTCTCACCTTTCCTGATGGACACAGCCAGGATCCAGCTTCCTTGCAAAACAGTCAGCATTACGTGTGGGAGACCGTGTCTCTTCACCCAAGTATCCTCAGTGTCTGGTATTAATACTTATATCCCCATGCATGAATAAACGAAACAAGCTTTGAGTCCCTTTCCTTCCCCAGTAAGCTCAACTTTCCCATTGCAGAGTGATTAACTAGTTTGCATACACAACCCCAAATGAGAAAACGATGGAAACTAGCCTCCCAGTTTTTAGGCAGAGGTGGCTGGACTTGGCTAACTGAAGTCTGAAGGTTTTTGACTGTTTTGCATGTGGTCTCAGAACCACCTTTCTATTTTAACATAGTTACTTGGCACCACACTGACACTGGCTCTACTTCTGCTGTCTCTGTTGTTGAGAATTGAGCATTGTTCATTCTTGAACGTGGCTGTGCAAAGCCCACACTTGAAAGCCTTGCCAGGAAGTTCTGAGGTATGGAAGCCACCATCTTTGTGTATCCTCAAAACTGAGCTCAGTGTTCCCAAGTGGGAGATGAGTTGCTAACGTGTGTCCTTGTACAAGTTTGGACTCTGAGAGTACTGACTGACACCTAAGCAACCCACCTCTTATTGCAAGGTGTTGTGTTTTGCATTTCACCATGGCTACCTTACAAATTAGAGTTGTTACTCTGCAATTTTAAGAAATTCGAGGCACAGCGGGCTTAATCAAGGTCATTGTACACCTACAGACTTGAAACCCTCATGCTGTCCACAATAGCCTAGTAGTCCTTGAAAAGGCCACTGACTCTTAGAACTTCAGTTTGAAAGGAAAATAATGAAATAGTGAGGCTTTTGGTTCTCCTTACCCTAGTTGACACTTTGTCAACCAGTGTACCATTGTATACATGAATGCTGCCAGCCCTTTTGTGATCCATGGTATAGTTAATGAGGTTTTAAAACTGATTGAAACACATGATACATTGCACAAGCACTTGCCTTGCAATCCTGAAATATGTTCTAGACATGGGAAAATAAAACCTTGACTACAGGAGTTACTAGACTTTACGATTGCATAGATTTCACTGGCGGAGCCTCTTGATAGTTTCCATGCCATGTGGGCCTTGTTAGTACTTGATTTAGGAATGAGAGAACATCTCAAAGCCGGCATGCCACTGTCACAGGTAGTGAAAAGGACTGTCCTTAGTCCAGGTCAAGGCTTCCAAGGAGTTGCTCAAGCTGTTCAGCCCACAGATCACAGGGGGACTGGTGGAATCCGGTTTGCCTGTTTGCCAAACCATGTGTCCACCAACATGGAGCTACCCAAGGCTGTGCCCTTAGGCCAGCAGAAGTTTAGTTATATCCAAAGGAGATGCTACACTATTCATTTACCTTCATTTATGTTTTGTGTGCTTTGAATGTGCTGGAGGCTTTTGTAGGATTGCTTTAATTAGATCTTCAAAACAACTCTATGGAGTAAATCTAGTTTGCTGTGCCAGGCTTATAGGTGGTGGAAAGGGAAGCTCATATAAGTAAAATGAATTATGTCTTATATGCTTAGATATTTGGTATCAACTGTATGATGATGGTTTATTTATTTGCTTAAATAAGGATTTGGAAGCTCAGGAAGGTTAAATATCTTAGCAGGCTCATCTAAATTGTAAATGACAAACCCAGGACACCTTCGAAGGCCTTTTGTTCTGGTCCCAGCACTCATGTATATTGATCAGGGTCAAAATGGACAATAGACCAAGGAAGTCCTCTGAGGGGACATCTTTTAGTTATTCCTACTCTTGTATACATACTACTGAATAGTCATGACCATTGACATAGCTGTATTTTAAATCAGATTTTCAAAGTGTTAAGTAAAACTGCATGCAGTTGTCTAAGCAATTGTGCAGAATAAAACTGACCCATTGGCTTATAAAATCTTTACAGTAATGAAAATGTTAATGGTGACTAAGAGATTGTTGGGCAGCCAGGTGCCCCCACCAATGCCCTCTGTGTTTCCAGCATTGTGCAGTCTATTTATTTGGGAATATTAATGGCATTTTCAAGGCCAGTTGGATCCACTCTTTCTTGATAAATGTAGGTAGCTGGATATGATCTGTTACTGGTCCAAGGTCACAGTAAAGTTTCCAGCAACAAAAATACAAAGCCAGTGCTTTGCTGGGAGAGCCTGGCTGCTTCCTTTCTGAGCCATTTTGCATTCACAACAAGCTGGGTCCTTGTCACAGAGAGAACAGTATGTATGTGGCACTCTGACCTCTGCAGCATATTTGAGAAGAGGGCAGTGCTCTTAGTTATGTCACTGAAGCTGTGTGGCCTTCAGTGAATTATTTCTCAGAATCCTGGGTGTTTGATGTTTTTAAAGGTATGTACCATCACACTCAACATTTTACATTTTTGTTGTTGTTGTTGTTTTCTGATACATGATTTCTCTGTGAAACAGCCCTGACTGTCCTGGAACTCCTCTGTACATCATGCTGGCCTCAAACTCAAAGAGATCTGCCTGTCTCTGCCTCCCAAGTGCTAGGATTAAAGGCACGAGTCACCACCACCTAACTGATTACCCAAGTTTTATCATTTAAAGATGTAACTGGCATTAGGGTTCACATCTTTAATCCCAGCATTCTGAAGGCAGAGGCAAGTGGATCTCTGAGTTCAAAGCCAGTCTCATCTACAGAGTGAGTTCCAGGCCAGCTAGGGATAAACAGTTGAGGCCATCTCAAAAAAAAAAAAAATTAATGTTAAGCTGGGTGTTGGTGGCACACACCTTTAATCCCAGCACTCAGGAGGCATAGGCAGGCAGATCTCTGTGAGTTCGAGGCCAGCCTGGTCTCCAGCGCGAGTGCCAGGATAGGCTCCAAAGCTACACAGAGAAACCCTGTCTTGAAAAACCAAAATAAATAAATAAATAAATAAGTAAATTGTTGGTGTATTTATTGTATGGAACAGTGTGTTTTAATATGACTTTTCATTCTCTCTCTCTCTCTCTCTCTCTCTCTCTCTCTCTCACACACACACACACACATACACACACACACACACAGAGTGTATATATAATACTTTAACAACTCTCCTTTACCTTCTTTTCCCTCCTTCCTCATCTCCCTCTGACCCACTTATTTCTAAATCACGTAGGATTTCTTAAGTGAAATTTGTTTTTTTCTTATGCAGTATTTTATTCGTGTACTTGTAATGCTGGGAACCAAGCTCAGGGCCTTGTATATGCTTAGGCAAAGCTCTCTACCCTGAGCTACATCCCCATAAATTGTCAGTTTATTACAGTTTATAACAGCACAGGGCAGTGGGAAAGAACCATAGCCCACCGGCACTGTTTCAAACGCTGCCCACTAAATCACCCCATAGCTGCACACACTGTGGCTTTTGGAACTCCATGCATGTTCCAAACAGAAAGGTTAGAGGATGTGCTAGAGTTAGGAACACATTGTCCTTTGAAAGCCTCTGCAGTCACATTGAGACCTTCTGGTTCAGAGAAATGTTGACGCTGGGAGAAGCCGCCAGGTGAGCAAGACTGCCTTGCCAAAACCCTAGGCTGACTTCACGTGATGGCATCAGCCTGGAGACCAGGGACAGCAGTGAGAAACACAGAGGGAGTGAGACGAGCTGTGGATGAGTTTTGGTGGTACAAGGTCAAGAAGAGTTGGAGCGTATGGAAAGCTCACAGACTGAATGACTGAGCATGTGAAGAGCCTGTTACTCAAGGGAATGATTGGGGAAGAGGGGCCTGGTTTGTTGTGAAAGTGGTACTACTTTTCATGCTAATGACTTATCAGAGTCCTTCCACCTGGCAAAAGGCAGGCCCTGAACAGTGTTGTTAGCTGGGTCTGCATGGCGCCTGAGGTGTGGTTTTGTGCTGGTGCCATTCATGGAGATCAAGAGTTTTCCTTGCTAACACACATGGCCGTGTGCTTCCTGTAATAATAGAATTTTCTCTTTTTGTTCCTAGGGATGGTGCAAAAGCTAGATCAAAAACTTCCTGTGGCTAACGAGTATCTGTTGCTCTCTGGAGGAGTCCGAGAAGGTGTGGTGGACCTGGACCTAGATGAGCTAAACGTCTATGCCCGAGGGACTGACTATGACATGGACTTTACCCTTCTGGTGCCAGCCCTTAAGCTGCATGACCGTAATCAGCCTGTGACACTCGATATGCGCCACTCAGCCTTGTGCCACTCCTGGCTGAGCCTCCGGCTCTTTGATGAAGGGACAATCAGTAAATGGAAAGATTGCTGCACAATCGCTGACCACATCAACGGTGCCACCAACTACTTCTTTTCTCCCACCAAAGTGGCTGACTGGTTCTATGACTCCATCAGCATCGTCCTCTCCGAGATACAGAAGAAACCCCAGCGAGGGATGCCAAAGGTAGAAAAGGTCGAGAAAAACGGGACCATCATCTCTATCATTCTGGGTGTGGGGAGCAGTCGCATGTTATACGATATTGTCCCCGTGGTGTCCTTCAAAGGCTGGCCGGCGGTGGCCCAGAGCTGGCTCATGGAGAACCACTTCTGGGATGGGAAGATCACTGAGGAAGAGGTCATCAGTGGCTTTTACTTGGTGCCAGCTTGCTCCTACAAGGGTAAGAAGGACAATGAATGGCGACTGTCCTTTGCCAGGAGCGAGGTACAGTTGAAGAAGTGCATCTCGGGTAGTCTCATGCAGGCCTACCAGGCCTGCAAAGCCATCATCATCAAACTCCTGTCAAGGCCCAAGGCTATCAGCCCCTATCACCTGCGGAGCATGATGCTCTGGGCCTGTGACCGACTCCCTGCCAGCTACCTGGCTCAGGAAGACTATGCAGCCCACTTTTTGCTGGGTCTTATTGACGACCTGCAGCACTGTCTGGTCAACAAGATGTGCCCTAATTATTTCATCCCTCAGTGCAACATGCTGGAGCACCTGTCCGAGGAGACAGTCATGCTCCATGCCCGAAAGCTGTCCTCTGTGCGCTCAGATCCCGCCGAGCACCTGCGCACCGCCATTGAGCACGTGAAGGCAGCCAACCGGCTGACGCTGAAGCTGCAGCGGCGGGGCAGCACCACCAGCATCCCCTCCCCGCAGTCGGACGGAGGGGACCCCAATCAGCCTGACGACCGCCTGGCAAAAAAACTGCAGCAGCTAGTGACTGAGAATCCAGGGAAGTCCATCTCAGTCTTTATTAACCCCGATGACGTCACGAGGCCCCATTTCAGAATCGATGATAAATTTTTCTGAATGATTTGGTTGACCTTCTCCCCCCCTCCTTGGTTCTAAGACTCACATAACGTGTAGTGTGGTTTGTGAATCTGTCATTCTGTTTTTACATATCCAGCTGACATTGGATTTGTTAAGGACACATTTTAAGTGTTCTGCAGGATGGTGCAGGCTCTGAAACAGTATTATTACTATTTCATATTCTGCCTGATTTTGCTGTTTGTTTTCTAATTATTGTCACATAGTTATTTTTTGTTATCGTTGTTGTTTTTTACGGTGTTCATTTGTAAGGAGAACTTGAGCCATATAGACGACACTGCCCATGAATCCTCTTTTTTGCTTTCTGACTCACACCCAGTGTAGATTTGTTGTTGGGTTGGGGCGAACCCGTTTCATTCTGACACGGTTAAACTCTCTTCTGCTTTTGTTCTGTTTTTGACCTGGTTCTTCTCCTGGGTTTTCACTGAGATGGGTATCTGAGAGTCCTCAGAACCTGGAGGACCTGTGCATGCTGGCTACATTTATTTCTTTGGACCAGCGATCAGAAGAGCTTCCCGTTTCTACCGGATGGAAACTTCAAGAGAGAGAATGCTGCACGTTGTGTTTCCCAGCAACCTCATTGAATGTAATTGTCCTCGAATCAGCAAACATTGGATGGTTTGGAGGGAGGGTTTCATAGCTTTCCAAACAGAATTAAGGTTCCCAAATGTTAGTTTTAGTGTTTGTAATCATTTGAAGCCTTATTTAAATCCTATTAAAGAGCACACCATTCTAATTGTTATTTGCACTAATGAAGTCTTTGCCATTGTCATAGCTGCAATGCGTGTTTCGGTGTACATTAGCATCCTTTCTGGAAATGCTGTTGCTTTTCATTTAGTCCAGCTCTCTCGGTCAATAGAGTGAGTCTCTGCATTTGTCTAGTTCTCCTTTAATTGTGGGTCCTGTTTTGCCCTCTTTGATAGTTCTGGTTCCTGCCTTACTGAGGGAAGTTTTTAAAGCTTTATACCCGTTCACTGACTAGCTAAAGCTTGGGAAGATAATACTTGACAAAGTGGGTATCTTTGTATTTATTTCTTGGGTGGAGGGGTTCTAAAGACTTTTCTCTTCCCCTTTCCTTTTTTTTGGGGGGGGAGTGGTTCGAGACAGGGTTTCTCTGTGGTTTTGGAGTCTGTCCTGGAACTAGCTCTTATAGACCAGACTGGTCTCAAACTCACAGAGATCTGCCTGCCTCTGCCTCCTGAGTGCTGGGACTAAAGGAGTGTGCCACCACCACCCAGCCCCCTTTCCTTTTTTTAAAGTCTCTTTATTTCTCCTGAGACCTTGATGGAAAGTGACAGGCAGAATTATCCCCCAGTTGAAGATACCCTGCCTGTTCAAGGCAGCTTTCACTGGAGAGCAGGAACCAGGAAATACCTAAGTGGTTGTGTTGGAATAAAGGAATCCTATCTTCTGACTGAAGTGATTTACCAGATTTAGGTGCTGTGGGGCATTGGCCCCTGTTTTGGTGTGAACCAACGGCAGACGGTGGTGCTTGAGTCATTGACGGGCCTGCTGAGCTAGATGACCCATGATGTCTGCTAACGGAAAAGTCAAGCAACATGGTGGTTTTTGGTCTGGAATGTCCAGACTCATAGGTTGGAATTGGAATCAGGCATATGTGGTCTTGGAGTTTTGCATGGGAATTAATGTAATGCTTATAAATCATTCAACAATCTCAAGTCAAACACAAAAATAAAAAAGAAACATACCGGCCTTGGAATTTTGCTGTCATTATTGCTTTATAATCTCAAATTTCTCTCTCTCCTCCCTTGTCCCCCACTTCTTTCCTCCCATTTTCACTGTGTAGCCCTTTATTTTTAGCCTGGAATTCTAGATCTTTGAGTCTGAACTTTTGAGTGCTGGGATTTCAAGTGTGTATCACCACACCCAGCTTTGAAATTGTATCTTTCTTAGCAGTGCAGTAGTAGTCAGTGATTACAGCCCTGGCCTTTAGTCTACAAGTCTGTGTAGTGAGAAGCCTGGGTTCTTTCCTCCCATGTTCCTTTTGGCATATACGTATCTTCCACACCAAACAGCTGGTTCCCAGATTCAGATGTGCCTCCTGATTGGAAAAGCCAGTGGATACAAAGCTACATTTCCTTGCTCATAAACGTGAAGGAGTGCCATCCAATCTCACTTCTTCCAACTGGGGACACAGCCTGTGGAGAGCAGGGACATAAGCTCACACTCCTCCTGGAAGTGGAGGAGGAAGCATTTGGTTTATATTGGTACTGACAACTGTCACCCAGTCATGGCAGCTGACATCAGATGGCATTGTGGGAGATGGAAATGAAAGCGAAAGCCCTCAGAACCTTGAGCCCAAGACCTCTTCTCTTAGGTGGACTTCCTCATCACCAGTATTTTTAATCAGTTTTGAGTTAGGATCAGTTCATCACCATATTTAATTAAATATGCCTAGATGAGCTATTTTGTATGGTATGTGTAGGGGAAGCTGTAGCCACGCCTACATAGGGTGGTCATACCTACAGGGTATGGTCAGGGTGACTTAGAGTGACTGCATTTTCTCTTTTGGTTTCACTTTGGTACTTGCTGGACAGACTGCTGCCACGCCAGCTGTCTAGGTTGCTCTGCAAGTAAGGCTTTTCCCTATTAAATGCCCTTTTATTTCTACCTGATTCCGTATTGGTAATTTCCCACTATAGGTGTGTGTCTCTTTTCTTTCAGGGATAGCTATGAAGGATTTTAAGTACATGTGTATTTAGAGCTAGCATCTGCTGATTTCATTGACTTCTATCATAGTCTATGTAGCTATTTTAGCCATTTTGTTATATTGGCTAGGCTAAAACAAAGTTAGATATACGATTGATATGGACAAACATATTCCAAAAACCAAAGTCCACCTTACTGTCAGGACATATCCAGAATCAATGTCTGAAGTACAATTAGCTTCATTGTAAATGTGGATGCTTTCTGATAGAATTTCACTCCAGGCATCATAAGGTTTTATTGCATTAATCCTGATGTTTTACTCCTTTTGTCTCATCTGGTCATAGTGGAGAGTACAATATTTAAATTTCTCACAGAGAAATGTGCAAAGACCTTTGGGTGTTGGTAATTTTAGTACCCATTGTCAAATCTCCAGAATTCCTGTCCAAGTCACAAAACTAAGACATTCTGAAGTCAAGGGTAAATATATGGGATGTTGCTTAATGCCTTCCCCTTAAACATTGAATTCTCACCAGGCTGTCCGTCTGCAGCCCAGAAGATTGCTTTATGTCGTTTGTATTTCAAATACAATATAAAATCCCTTAAAGCTGGAGCCATAATTTTACAATTACATGTTGTGATTTTTTTAATTGGAGACATTTATAAGTTATTACTCAACAGGCTTTTAACTCTTTAATGGGGCTGGGTCTTGCTCATATCAAGAGTAGATTTTTCTTCCCCTCTTCCTTTTGCTTCCCAAATGGATGATCTATAAATGCAAGGAAAAGTTAGTTTCAGAGTTAATGGGGCCACTCAAGTTGAAACACTTTAAAAGTAAGACTATTCCCGAAGTTACTGTGCAAATTATTTAATAGAAAGGGTGGAACTACATGGCTAATTTTGCTTTGGGGTGGAGGTATGAGGACCAAGAAGGAGGCATCTGGATCTAGTGTAAGAGCCAACACTTCCGTATCACCCTGTGTACACCCACGTACTCTTTCATATTACCTATTGGACCTTTCCACATATTGACTTTGTAGCACTTCCTTGTACAATTGTTGGTTGTTTGCTTCTGATACCTTGCTGAGAGAAATCCCTCCCCATTTTTAAAGGAATTCAGCTTTTTTTTTTTAAAAATAGTATTTTAAATTATGCATATATGCGTGTGTTTATAAATGCAAGTACAGATGTCTACAGAGGTCAGAGGCATTGGTTGACCTGGAGCTGAAGATAACAGGTAATTAATTATGCGTTACCTGATAGGGCTACTGGGGTCTGACCTTGTGTCTTGGGGTTTCTTTTGCTATGAAGAGACACCATGACCATGGCAAAACTCTTATAAAGGAAAACATTTAATTGGTACTGGCTTACAGTTCAGAGGTTTAGTCCATTATTGTCATGACAGGAAGCATGGTGGTGCCCAGGCAGACATTGTACTGGAGAGGTAGTTGAGTTTTACATCCAGATCAGCAGGAAGAGAGTAAGGCCACACTCTACTCTTCAGAAAGAGCCAAAAGTGCTCTTAACCACTGGACCAGATTCCAAGGTGTAAAAGTGTGTGTGTGTGTGTGTGTGTGTGTGTGTGTGTGTACATACATATGTGTTTGACAGAATAGTTCCAAAGAGTTAGAGAGGCCACAGCAGAGTTCAGGGAATCCCCCAAAGACCTCACTAAGCAGCAGAAACAAGATCTTGGTAGGGATGTAAGGCAGATTTCATGGGAATAGGGGAGATCCGATAATTAAGTCCGGAGGGGGCGGGGGTGCTGCTGCAGATGCTGTAAAATTGAGTCATAGGGCCAGAACTGAGCTAAGCCTCAGACTTGAGTTCAAGCTGCAGAAGCGAGCTCCCCATGGAGGCTGTAAAGGTGAAAGACAGGGTTGGGTCCAATTGGATGAATTGAAGTGTGGACAAGTGGTAACTTGAGAAGGCTGCATCAGTAGTGGAGACTGCATAGAGATGAAGCTGGGACAGGTGGGAGATGTCAGACCCTTGAAGCACACATCAAATGTTAGCAGCTCAGTTGGGTCCTTCGCCATCATGGTGCTGAGTGTCCTCTGGTGTCCAAAAGAGAGGTCGAACCTTTTCCTTGGTCTGGCTTGTTCAATAATTTCTCAAGCCTAGTTTCCCTCACAGGATTTGAATGTGCCCATGTGCCTCTCCAGGCCAATTGTCTGTGAAAAGATTATAGCTGCACCCCTTTCACTTTTAAGAATAAGTTATATATCATCCTGTGCCTGGTGTTCACAGTATCAATGGTGCAGAGTCACCCTGCCTCCGCATATGCGCTTAAAATGAGTCACCTAGGACAAGGC